GAATAACAAGTGAAATATCCACTAAAGCAAAGCTTAAGTATATAACACCAACACAGACTCCACTATGGAAGCCGAGTACATCGCAGCCTCTGAGGCAGCGAAAGAGGCAGTTTGGCTCAGAAACTTCTTAGTGGACTTAGAAGTGATTCCGAGTTTGCCACGTGTTATTACCGTGTACTGTGATAACAGTGGTGCAGTAGCAAACTCAAGGGAACCACGAGCCCACAGAGCAAGCAAACACACAGAGCGCAAATACCACCTTATCAGAGATATTGTGGCAAGAGGAGAAGTTGAGATCGCCAAGATTGCATCAGAAGACAACCTAGCGATCCTTTTACGAAGAGTTTGCCGGAGAAGGTCTTCGTCAAACACGTAGAGGGAATGGGAGTCAAATGTGTGGTGATAGGATCGATATAGGTCTTTTAGGATACGGATTGATAGGACTATACTAGTAAAGCGGCAGCTTTAAGTATAAGTGGGAGATTGTTGGTGTTATATACTTAAGCTTTGCTTTAGTGGATATTACACTTGTTATTCTTTGATGAATGAGAATTATGTTTGGTTAAATGAGTTCCACGTTCTGTTGTTTTGCATGTAGATAAGTGGGTCGTCATCGGGCGTACCGAAGATCACTATATCAGTTACTTGCAAAACAAGAATCGTATGTTCACAACCTAGATGGATATGAACAACCCATCGGAACAGTTGTAGTGTCAACCGTACGGTTTGTCTTGACCGATTAGTTGCGCTAGTACATTTATGTATTGAACAGGATCCCAGAGAGGGATGTTCGTTTTATACTGATCGTCGTAAACGAACTAGGCCTCAGTTAATTATTGCGTGCTCTTAACCCGTAAGATATTAAATAGGCATGTGCACATAATTGTTGTTGCTTTGATTCTTTGGGTGAGATTCAAGCTGGGTCGACATACTTAATGAATTGGGTAATGACATTGTGTGTTCGATGTGTTATTAGGATATTTACGGTCACCATGTGTGCTAGTATGATGATGTCCCCGAAGTGAGTTCATGAAGGAATATTATGCTAAACCATGC